GACAAAGATTTGTCCTGACTGTGGGCAAGGCAGGAAAAGTCTAGCTACAAATACAGTCATAAAATTTTCTTTAAAATCTTCAATACAGAAAGCACTACATTGTTGCCCCTTTCCTTGGGACAGCTCACTCCAATTTCTATTTGGAAGATATCCTTTGCTAAATCAACCTCTGCTTAAACTGTCTATCTTCCTTGGCTGAATTATCTTCTTTTTTTTAATGGCACAGGATATACATTACAGTCCAAAACACAGGGAAAGGAGCATAGTGAGGAAATACTGGACCAAAGCAAGACTGAAACCCAGCTTGGCACACTCCAAACTCTGCAATTCCATGTCTGATGTTAAAACACTCTTCGGATCTCCAACTCCTTTCAGTTCTGTTGCCTGCAACACACTTCTTTCTCTTGGGCTGGGTCCACTCCCTATTAACAGCTCTCCTCAGCAGGTATCCCATGGCTCTGGCATCTCCAACATTTTAGGTTCTCCAAGGCAATCCAGTCTTCAACTTCACAGCTTCACGAAATGGCCTCTCTAAGCCTCCATTCAGAGACACCCCTGACACATGCCTGGCCTCAGCAGCTTTCCTTAGTCTCAGAGGCAAATTTCATAGCCCCTTTCTTCTATCTTTAACTCCAGAACCATGTGGCCAAAGCTGTCAAGTTTTGCTACCCCCGTTCAATTACATCTTTACCAGCTTTCTGTTCTTCATTGCCTAAGCTTGGCTGTCCTGAAACTGGATCTCCTGAATTCTCTTCTTCAAGAATATAAGAACTGGTCCCTCTCCTTCCATCTCATACTTGCCCAATTCTATCTCATGGTACTGCTCCCCACCAGACCTTCCAGACTGCCCAGATAGATTACCTGTATTCTCCTTCCAAACCCCTCTAATATGGGTTACTCCAAAGATCCATGGATGCTTGACAAGTTCTTCCAGCTACCTGACTGGGACCCTCCAGTTGCCCTATTCAGCCTCGAGACCCAGGATAAGTTCATACTACCAGGGAAATCTTGTTTCAAGCCCCTCAAACAAGCCAGTCTGTGTACCAGACTGTGGCTAAAAAGCAGAAGAGCTAGAATAGTGGCTGCAGCTTTAACAACTATTAACTTCCAGACAAACAGAGGAGATCATATCCCAACCCTGCTATAGATTAGCCCCTCCTGAACATTTTAAACCTTTGTTAAAAGAAGAAAGATGACCTGAATAGAAAACACAGAAAAACTGAGCCAACAAACTAACTCCAGATCCTCTGACCTCCTGGGGCACCTGAACACACACCACATAACACACACACACACACACACACACACACACACACACACACACACACTCATATTCATAATTTTTTTAAGTTACAATTGAGTCATTGTACAATGGGGCAACAATACCCCTACTAGACATCTCAGACTAACAAATGAAAAGCACAGTGCCAGGAATGTGTCTTCATTTTTGTTTCTTGAGATTTTATTTATTTTTACTTTATGTGTATGGGTGTTTTGCTTGCACATATGTCTGTGTATCATGTGCCATGCAGTATCTGAAGAGGCCAGACAGAAGTGTCAGCTTCTCTGGAACTGGTGTAACAAATGGTTGTGAGCTACCATGTGGGTGCTCAGAACTGAACCTGGGTACTCTGAACAGCAGCCAGTACTCATAACCGAAGATACATCTCTCCAGGCCTTGGTTTATTTCTTTTGGAGTTTTTTGGTCAGTAAGGTCCCATAGACTTCCAAACATTACAGGCTGTTGCCAATGCTATTGCTTACCCTTCAAAACTTGACAGTAAGGCAAAATGACTGAAGATACCAGATACCTGAGTCACAGAACAGGGAGATATCAATTAGTACTGACCTGGAAGCTTTATCCCTACTGGATAGCTTTCATAGTACTGGCAGGTACTATGCATTCTACCAGAGCAGAAAAGTAATCATTAATCTTAGCCTGGTGTGAGGACTGCCACCTGCAGTAAGGACTTGATTAACCAGACATGCCCAATGGTGCAATAGTGGCACAAACATGTGACTAACCAACCACTTTCTGACTGGTTTTAGGTCTTACTCCACAAGATAAAAGCTATACCTTGCACCATTATTGGACCAAGAACCTGTATATAGAGAGGTTATAGGCCCTAGTGGAGAACCTACTATTATTCTGCTAAATGACACTGTATTAAACTGACTTGTAATGACTTATCATTAAATATATATCAGTGCTCATCCCTAAATGGGACATCTAAATTGCACCCCCTCCTCCTAAGGCCTAGGGTCAGTTTGGAAAAGGGGGCAGAAGGAGTATAAGAGACAGAGGTGGTGGGTGACTATAAAGAAACAATGTCTTCCTGACATAACAGAGAAGCTGAGCATACAACTTTACTTTGGTTGCGGCAGCACGCACAAAACTTGTGCAAGCTCAACCCAGATGAAATCTCAATATGGTTGGAAAGGTGAGAATTAAGTCCTACCCCTATCAAAGGAGATATTAGCTCTCCTTCTGGTAGAGGAAGATTCTTTAAGAGTGCATCCTCTGGTAAGTTGACCACACTGCAATTGAAGGTCAAGGGCCCAAGAATATATGGGCAGCATAAACTGAACTTGATCATTTTAAAAAAAAGGACACAAAGTTTTGGGTCAGTAGTGAAGGGGTGGTGGTGGATCTGGCAGGAACTGAGGGAGGGGATGAATATGAACATTGTATAAGATTCTAAAGAACTAATAAAAAAAGTCATTTTGGTCATACTACTCCTCCTTCCACCCTCCCAAAACAGAAGGTAAGAATTGAGAAAACTTCAGTCACTTGTTAGAGTATCACTGTACACCTCTCCACTTACTGAGTAGGTTCTGCCACATGAAAGAGTTGTGGTTTTTGGCAGTGTGTCTGAAACAAGCATTCTGAAAAGTTCATTT